ATAATATTAATAAAATATTGACTTTTTTTACATTGCTTTCATGCTGAGAATGGTGAGGTCCTTGTTTGCCCTATAATGTACATTTTGGATAGTTTCAGTTTCTCCATCTCGAGATTATTGACTTTTGGGCCATGTAAGTGTTTGTTATGAGGAAATGTCCTGTGCATTGTAGGATATTTAGCAGCATCCTTGGCCTCCACCCCCAGATGCCGGTAGCACCACCCTCCCCATATTGTGACAAGCCAAATATCACTGGTAAAATTGCTCCTTCCCCCCGCCCATTGAGAACCACTGGTCCAGAATAATGCAATTTGGGACAAAATTCTAGAGAAGTTAACTTCTTTTATTGCAAGTCACATGACTAGTCATTAACACAACTGTTTTTAGGAGCCACGTGTCATACCTCCAGTCCTCCAGATTAACTTTACTATTGACCAAAGTTCCATCTTCTTTCTTGTATATATCAGGTCACTGTGTATATTTTAGTTATTGTGGTCCTCTATCTTAAAGCACTGATGCCATCTGCCCGCCCTACCTTTGTGATGTGGCAAAGAGTTTTGTCTAACTTTCATTGCTTTCGGGGTATCCTAAATCCTTACGCCTACCTCACGTTCCCTATCTTCCTTCAAACTAGCCCAAAATATAAAATGATTGCTTTGTTTAGATCGGGCTGTCATTCAAAGTTTTGCCAAGTGTGACAATTTAGCAGTTCCCTCAAACTTAAATGAGTTGCACTTGAAAGGGAAAATATGCTCTCATAGCGTGATGCTTATTAAATAATATTAAAACTCTGATTTAGCATTCCCATGGCGATGACTTCCGTAGCACATTACTACATTAATGCAAGTATTTTTGCTTGTCAAACTTTAAATATGGAAAAGATCTGCAGTGTCATTTGGATCACTTGGCTACCACTGAAGCATGGCTTCTCTGTAATGCCTTCTGGCCTACCGTTCCCAGTTCAATTTAAACTCTAAGTAATGACTGTGTATTTCCACTTCCTTTGGGAAAGCATTACAAAGTTTAATTTACTGTTTCCTAACCACTTGTAATAGTATTGGTAGTTAATGTTCTAGAATTTTGACAGTGGAGCTTTCTGCTAACCTACTTTTCTCTCTTAGAGGTGAAAACTTTATCATCAGGAGGTTTTTTGTACATACCAGCTTTATATCCTAAGATTGTAGAATGGGTCTAGGGTTTTGCCATTTCTAGTCAACCATAATCTTTTCCTCCACCTGGTGGTTTCAATAGGTTTGAAAGACTTATTCTTGATAGCACCTTAAACTTCAGACAGCGGGCTGACACCCCTTTGCCTGATTTTTACACCATCACTTTGGAAGTAGGCAGGCCAGTGTCCAAGCTTTATTTGACGGATGGGTTTATAGAGGCTCATAGGAGTTACATAACTTCCCTAAGTCACTAAAATTTATATAGCCCTTTAAGAATCGGATGTGATTGATCGATATTCATTATCTCATTTGCTCCACAAACTTGTGAAGCAAGCAGGACAGGTATTATTATGACTTCCACTTTTTAGAAGCAAAAACTGAGGCACAGAAAAGTGAAGTGATAGAGCAAATGAGTGTTGGTCCTCGATTTGGGTCTTTTGCCTCACATTTTAATATATTCTTCATGTATGTGTGAGGAAAATTGGACTTGTGCTAACATCTGTTGCCAATCTTCCTCTTTTTACTTAAAGAAGATTGCTGCCTAACTAACGTCTATGCCAGTCTTCCTCTATTTTATGTGGGCTGCTGCCACAGCATGGCTTTCCAAGCAGTGCTAGGTCCACGCCCAGGATCCAAACCTGCGAACCCCGGGCCGCTGAAGTGGAGCATGAGAACTTAACCACTACCCTTCTGGGCCAGCCCTTAATGTATTCTTTTAATTTGCATTTTCCTGTCTTGCTTGCATAATTATTTACTTCTTTCTTTTGTTATTGAAGAGGCTTCACCTTGCAGATGCTGGAGAATGAGGGATTCATAGATAGTAAAATTCAATGATTTAGTGACAGAATCTCCTGAGAAAATAATTTATTCAGCTTGATTTGTTGTTTGCATACCAAGTACGTAGTATTAGATTAATTCTCCCACTCTCCTCCCCCTCCCCCACTCTCCCTTCCGTTCTTATTTTACCCTGTGTCTGTCCAGAGGCTCACTTTTGAGGAGAGAGCCTCTATCTTTGTTGTTCATTAGTTCTTACACAATAACATGTATTCATTTTCTTTTCGTTCTTGCATTTAATTCTTATGCATGTGCCTTGTATAACCCCATATGAAAAGACCAATTGGTTTGGGAAATCCTGGTCTCAACAGAGCTGGGGTCACTCCAAAGCTATCCATACACAGGAAGCGCGACAGTGCCTCTTGGATTCCACAGGTTGCACTAAGTCTCTTACCACCAATGGATAAATGGGTAATTCTGAGCGAGTTTGTATCAAAGCTGAAGAGCTGACATACTGTTTGAAACTTAGTAGGATCAAGCCTCCTCTCAGGCCACCCAGAAACTGGGTTCCTGCAAGTGGTACTGACACTCAGTACCCAGCGCTCCTACCGGTTGCTAGCTGCAGTGGCCTTGTGCTAGTCTGCTGCTATGCTACCGTGGAGAAAATTGCTGTTTGCCTGTGATTGAACCACACTCCTTTTGGCTATCAAACACCCAACAATAAGCTTCCATTAACATTCAAGGGCTCTGAAAAGCCTTCTTTAGGGGAAATAAAACCAAACCAAAAAGAAAGATACCTTGTATACATGAAAAGAACAAATCAGTCTTAGGTTAAAATTAGCCTTGGAGGAGTAGGAAAGAGGAAATCTTTCAAGAAACCTTGAGGTTCCTCTTCCAACTACTGGCCAACATTCAGTCTTATGTAGAACATTGGGTTGCCCAGCTAAATGATGGGGACAGTACATCGTGTCTTTACTGAATCTTTTAGCAGCTGATGGTGGTAAAGCCCTCATACTACGAGGGCCTGAGGCGAGTGAGGAAGGATGTAGTAACAAGCACGTTGTGTAGGCCAGGGCACCAGGATTGCTTTGTTTTGTTCTTTTCTTTGGAATATGGTTTGCTGGGTATATTCATTTTGAGACCACCTATTTCAATCTGATTCTGTTAAGGCTCAGGAAGAGTATGTTAGATTTCATTTTCTAGACTATATACTCCTATTTGGAATATAAAGATCAGTTTCTAGTGTGGGTTTTCAGGCACATTCTGTGAGGTTGTTGGAATTTAAAGCTGCCACAATCATGTCCGAGTTGAAGCAGAGCAGTTTTCTAATGGCGACTTCAGCATGTCGATGGCGAAACGAGTCAGGCTAACAGCCTGTTGCTCCCCAATGCCTCATTTAGGGGGCACAGACACAATTTTTCTCTTATATAATAGACAAATGGGTAATTTCTTCTAAAAAGCACTCTGATGACATGTTTCAAACATAACTTCTGGCACATCAATCAATAAATACGTATCCAAATGCTTTCCCCCAGCCACTGTGCAAACCATTTCCTCAATGCGGCTGCAAAAGTTTAAATAGACATGGAAGATTACCTCTGTGTCGTAGACACAGCTTATGTTACATATGATCCCTGTCCCCAGGAATATTAAGTCTATTTGCAAAGATTAGGGATAGGAATAAAAATCCTTCATGATCTCCTTCTCTTTAACCTCTTCTCTCGCCATTCCCTCTGCCTTATCATTTGCTTTGTAGCCATGCTAAATTGCTTGTATTTCCTTGCACACCAACCCTTTTCTGACCTTAGTACCTTTGTTCAGGCCACATGTCCATCTGTCTGGAAGTGTTCCCATTTACGTCCTATCTCCTACCTTGTCTGTGTAATTCCTAAGCATCCTTTATGACTCAGTCTTTCATGACTCCTCCTTTCTGTTCATATAATATATTGGATATATATATCACAATCGCTGCACTTACCACTAGGAGAAATTGTGTCACTTGTTATCTCAAAACCTTTCAATGTTTCCCCATGTCACTCAAAAGAATAGCCAAAATCCTTAGAACGGCCTGTAAGTGTCTGACATTCACCGACCCCCAACCCCCAACAACCATCTCTGACCTTATCTCTTACAACTTGCCACTAGACTCAGTTGATTTTTGCTGCACTGCCTCAGGACTTTTGCACCTGCTATTCCTTTTGTCTGAACCAGTCTTGTCCCAAATATCTACTTGGCCTGCCCCTGCATTTCCTTCAAGTTATATATGCAGATGGTCCTCAACTTACCATGGTTTGACTTTCAATTTTTCAACCTTACAGTGGTGCAAAAGTGATGTGTATTTTGACCTTTTCCCAGGCTAGCACTATATAATACAATGCTCTCTCATGATGCTGGGCAGCAGCAGCAAGCCACGGTTCCCAGTTGGCCACATAATCATGAGGGTAAACAGCCAATACTCTTATACCCATTCTGTACCCATACGACCATTCTATTCTTCATTTTCAGTACAGTAGTCAATAAATTACATGAGATACACAACACTTTATTATAAAATAGGCTTTGTGTTAGATGATTTTGTCCAACTATAGGCTATCGTAAGTGTTCTGAGCACATTTAAGGTAGACCGGGCTAAACTATGGTGTTTGGTAGGTTAGATGTATTAAATGCATTGTTTTTTTGTTTTCGGTGAGGAAGATTGTCCCTGAGCTAACATCTGTACCAATCTTCCTCTATTTTGTATGTGGGATGCTGTGACACCATGGCTTGATGAGCGATGTATAGCTCCGCACCTGTGATCCAAACCCACGAACCCCTGAACAAGCAGAGAGTGTGAACTTAGCCACTGAACAAGCAGAGAGTGTGAACAAGCAGAGAGTGTGAACTTAGCCATTACACCACCAGGCTGGCCCCTAAATACATTTTTTTTTTTTTTTTTGAGGAAGATTAGCCCTGAGCTCACATCTGCCAATTCTCCTCTTTTTGCTGAGGAAGACCGGCCCTGAGCTAACATCTGTGCCCATCTTCCTCTGTTTTATGTGGGATGCCTGCCACAGCATGGCTTGCCAAGCAGTGTGGAGGTCCACAAACCAGGATCCAAACCAGCAAACCCTGGGCCACTGAAGCACAACATGTGAATTTACCCACTGTGGCACCAGGCCTAAATGCATTTTTGACTTATGATATTTTGACCTTCTGATGGGTTTATCAGGATGCTGCCCACTGTAAGTTGAGGAAGATCTGTGTGGATATATATATAATTTTTGAATCTCCCACTGTGAAACATAGGCTCCATGAGTGCATTTTGTCTATTTTGTTCCTTTCGGTATCACCAATGCCTAGAAGAGTGCCTGTCCCGGAGTAGGCACTCATTTAAGATTTATTGAAAGAATTATCAACTCTACTATCTCATGTTTAGACGGTTAGTTCTTGGAGGGCAGAAACAATACTTCATTAATTTTTACATCACTAGCCTTTATCATGTCATCTGGCTTAATTATTCAATAAATTGTTAAATTAATTTATTCAAAATATTTATTAAACAATTACTATTTGCCAGATATCATTCAAGCCACTGGATTTAGGGGAGTTATCAAAATAGTGTCACTTCTCTCATAGATTTTAATTTTAGTTCAGAAGTTCATTGAATATTGAAGGGAGAAATGAACGTATCTTGCAGCAGGTTGTGGACCTTAAATAATGAGACGGCGGATGAGGACCTACCAGTCTAGCTTGGGAGATAAAATATATTCAGCGATGTTATAAATGAATACTTGAAGGAAACGTAGCTGTCCATTCATACATACCAATCCACCTGGGCTCCACAGCTGAGTTACACCATTTGCCTTCCTTCCTCCTCTGAATTGCCTTTACCCTTTTCCTCTTTGTTATTATATCATCACCCTACATTGATGAATATAGTAATAGTTGTAGGTCTCATTTTTTACTTACTTCAGGGATATTATTAAGAACACTGCTCACTATATTACAATGTTTTTCTTATGAGGACCCTCAGGAGAAATTTTTTTCGGCTCCCAGTATCATAAATAATCATGCTTTTGAGAAGTTGGTTTATTTTTGTTTTATGGGTAATAAATATATAACTTGTAATTTCCTCCTTTGCATTACTGCTTGAAAATCCTGAGCCAAAAGTGTGCCCCATCCCTAGGCAGCAGAGTATTGAGTGGCTTGCACAGTGTGTGTGGATCCCAATCCAGCTTTAACTTTGTTGTTCTACCTCCTTTACCCGTTAGCTTATTGTCCCACTTAATTTTAAGTGAAAAAGTATTTTCATGTAACTCTTTAATACTTCGGGGGAAAATAAAGGCAATAAAAATATCAATATTTATTGAATAAAATCAATTCTATTGGAGTGTAATAAAGTTCCTCAGGCACGGCGTGTTGAAATGATCACACCCATTTCATGCCTACAATTACTGCTGACCAAATTTTCTCTTTCCAGCCCAGACCCATCTCCAAACTATAGACTCCTATTTCCAACTCCCTACAGACACCTCCATTTAAACTTTCTGCAGACACCTTGAATTGTTGAAGATATTCAAACCTGAACTCTTTCTTTCCATTCTCATCTTGCACTTGCATCAGCGTTTTCTCTTTCAGATAATGAAATTACCAACCTCGTGATTGCCTAAGCCAGTATCCTGAAAATCATTCATGATTCCTTCCACTCGTTCATCCCCCCTGTAGCCAGTAATTCTGCCTTCTTGGTGTCTTTCAAATATGACCCATTCTTTGCATTCTTAACTGCTACTGACTCAGTCTAGGACCTCATAATTTCTCATTGCTGAATTATTTGATGAATTTCTTGGCACTCCTACCTCCGTCCTGCTCATTTCCTAGATATCCTTCACAAAGATACCAGAGTGATCTTTTTAAAACAAAATATTGATCCTTTCACTTCCTTACTTAAAATCTTTCAAAGGGTCAAAAATGACCTGCAGATGAATCCAGAATCCTTAGGAAGCTATCCAAGAAGCTTCATGACCTGGGCCTTATTTACTTTCTCCAGCCTCATCTCTCACCACGTACCTCACCCTCCCTACCACATTCTTTGATAGAGTCATATTTTTATAATACTTTTTGCCATTCACTTTACATGCACTGCTCTTCCTGGTCCTTGCTTATCTCCCACCAAACACGCAATATTAGCACCTACACATACACAAACTTTTTTCTTGATCAATTAGAATACCCTTAATCAAAGCAGGGTCTACTGTCTGGGAACAACATCCTTTTTAACCAGGCATGAAGCAGTAAGGGAAGTATTGGACCGCAAACAATAGTCCAATGAGATGACTAAACTTCTCTAATGTTACAGGCAGATTACCAGGTAGTCATGACTCAAGACACAGCACCAAAAAACTTATTCTGAGAAGCCTTGTGTGACCCTTTCGTCTAACTTTGATATCTCTTTCTCATTGCCCTCTCTGCATAGCCCAGTTGTGATTCTTAACACAACACACTTATAAGAACCAATATGCTCTAAACAACTTGAGAACAGGGGACCATATTTTTTTTCCTTTTCTCCCCTTCCTGGAGATGGTAAGTACTCAATAGATATGGTTTGAGTGCCTTATAAATGCAGTGAGGCATCTTAAATGAAGCTGTAAATATGAAATAGTGGAAAGGTTGGTAAAGACACTCCAAGTCTGGATAATCATGTGAACAGAGAAGCATAGATGAGGGAACTAGTAGGTCAGGTCGCAGATGGTTGGGCTCTGTGGGAATTAGTTCTGCAGGCTTTCCCTCCTCTTCACCCTTATCGTTCAGGGAACAAGTCATCACAAGTGGCTGGGGGAAAGATATTTTGTTGTTGTTGTCATTATTATTTATAATCTTACATTGTTTTCTAAGGAAGACAGAGCCTTATCTTATGCTGAATGTGATGACAGGTTGGATTGTATGATTCGAGTAGGAGTTGAGGCAGAATGTATGCAAGGATATTAAGATCTGATATAGAAACTTTCAAGACTAGGGCTGGAAGAAACCTTAGCACAGTTGCTACCTAAAGAAAGTGTGGTTTATAGACTGGTCCTGGTCAATCCATAACAATAACCCCAGTTGATAGGATGCATTTAGAAATTTTTATAGCAACTTGACAGAGCAATCTTATACCTGTTAAATCTAATAGAAAAATTTGAGATTTTATTTGTATACATTCTTTTTTATTTCGTTGTTTAATAATTCATACTTTGTGTATATTTTTTAAAAGTGTTGGTTCATAACAGATTGAAAATCAAACGGAATTAGTTCTTCAGTACACATAGAGAAGTATTCCTTTGGTGCATGTCTTTTCAGTAACTCTTAAAGATTCTTGTGAACACAGTTTCCCGTGTAATTTGAGTGTCTTTGCAGATCCTCGTGAAGTTCATATGTGGACCCAAGGTTGAGGACTCTTGATATGGCTAAAACTAGTCATTTGTAGACAAGAGCACTGAACACTAGAGACGCAAAATAATCTATCCAAGATCCCACAGCAAAGTGAAATCTAATGGTTTCCTTCCACTCCACCAAAATAGTGTCTTGTTCTTCCTGCTTCTAAATGCCCCCTTTGTACCACTTGCTGTCACCAGAATGGGGACTGTGTTTCTGTGTCTCAAGCTTGTGATACACTATACCTTCTCATGGGACTTTGGAGAGATTCACCTGCTCTGCCCACTTTCTTAAGATGATGCATACAGTATACTTATTATGACATTGTAGCAAAATGAAAGAGTGTGGGCTAAGCTGTGCTGCCAACATGACTCTTAACTGTTGACTCCAAAATCCATTCTTGCTGTAACTTACTTTATCTTTTATTGAAAGAATCATAACTCTTGACTGACAATTTCCTTTGTGGAAATTGCCTTTAATTTCATCTAGAGCCTGGTGGTACTACCTGACAATATGGGCAGGGTTACCAAATGAATTTTATTTTGTTTTCATCCATCTGAGTCCCTTGACCATAGCTGGTTGTGACCAAAAAGAAAAAAACACTATGAGAACTAGTGTCTCTGAAGTTTGGAGTCTGATGGGAAGGAAACTCTGCAGAGTCACAAATGAAAGCATCCCAGGCAGAAAGGGTATCTTTGGCTCTCTTGTCATGCATGATTGATGCTTTCCCTTTATCACTACAGCTCATGTGTCCCAGTATTTTTTTTCTCTCCTGCTGCCACAGTCATAATTAATGATTAAGGTACAAAACTAGCAGAATACCTGGTTATTAATTTTAGGAAGTAGATTGGGGTACACAGCATTTGACCTCACAGACACTAAGGGGGAGCCTGTAGAACTTCTTCATTGCATAAAGCTGCAATTTTGACAACCTGCCCACATCTGAACAAGTCAGTCTAATCTCTGTCTCTGTCACTGTTTCTCTTTAGTCCATTTCACAAGCTGGAAGGAATAAGATAAATTAAACTGCAGCTATGTGTGTATGTGTTTTAAAGGTGCTAAATCCAACTTGTATAAATTGCCATTACTTATGTTAACAGTAAATAAATCTTTCCATTGTACCAAATACTTTCTACCAGTGATATAGACATGACTGGTTTTCGCTGAACAATAACTCTGAAGTCTTACAGCCGTCTTTGGTTCCTTTGGTTTTATATACAGTCAGTTTGTGACCTCTGTGCTTCTAGAGTCGAATACCTGGCTGGCTTGGCTTTTCCTTTCTCTAGATAGTCTCTCCCGGATATTCTGGGTCATAGGCACAGGGATTTAAAAGTTATTTTCACGTTAGCCTAAAGATAATCGAATTAGGAAGGCAAACTGTAACCCAAACAGTCACATAATGGGCATATATGCCAAGAAAAATCATTCAAGCTGGTTTTCTCTGTTGAGTTATCCGCATCACTACTCTCTACCATGAGCATAGAAATTTTAGAGATGAACTAAAAGTAAATCTTTCTAATTAAGTGGTCAAGAGGCTGGAGGAAGTAAGAAAATAACACAGCTCTCAAATTAATTAAATCCAGATTGCCAATAATTTTAATCATGTTGACAGCTATTTGCTTTGCATCATTTTAGCTAAATAAGCAACTTAACATGACATTACCCTGTAGATTCTGTTCTTCAGCTAACTCAACCGCCACAGAAAAAATGAACATCTCAGTTACTTTCAAGACCTAAAATAGAATTTCCTGCTTCAGGGTGGAAATTAAACCATCCTGTATTCCTTTCTTTTCCTTCATACTCTAATCCCATGGAACTGACTAACAAAACACCAAATGAGCAAAAGAAAATCTGTAACAATGTTGGAAAACAGGAAAGAGTAACATCAATAAAGCAGACACTTTCAGGAATTTTTAAAAAATGAAGCAAATGTATTGGGTTTACTGAGGAGCCGACAAGACCTTTTTTAAGAGCCTAATATAAGCAAAGGAGAGAAACTCTGAGAGAAAAGTAGGCAAGTTTCTCCAACAGAAAACTGATGGAACCCCAGCCTTGGGAAATTATAGCATTATTTAACCCACATTTGGAAGAGTGGGAGTGTCAATGAGAGCCACACAATAAGACTTCTAGAATGTATCAGAACTCTGCAGAAAGACATTGACAAACTTTATTCTGATGCGTCCTCCATTTGGCGTCATCAGCATCCTACATGCAGTTGGAGCTTTCCTTACCTGCTTCACTCTTGCTTTTTCTCTCTGGAACAAATTTATCAGGTTCACTCCCAGTATACATACCTGTAAGGAAATTAGCTCTGCTGCTTCTCTCTGTTCCCTGAACGCTGCAATTTCATGACATCAAGCATTGGTGAAGCTTAGGGAGCCCATGACAGCCACCAGCATGGGCCATCTAAACCTGCACACATAAATACGAAAAGACAATGAAGTATCATCAGTCACTGGGGAGAAAAAGTGGAAAGCTGGGAATCAGAGCAAATGTTCCCAATGAAACAAATGACACTAAATACTGCAGGTAACCAGAAGAGAACTATTTACAATTCTAATTGGTGTCCTCATTGATATTTGGAAAGTTGCCTTTTTCTTCTTCTTTTCACTCTGTAAAATAGCACACTGCTATGTAAAGGAAGAATAGGGTCGTTTTGCTGAAAGATTGCTGCACACCATGCACTGTTCTCTGATCTTTAGGTGCATTAACTTGTTCAATCCTCACAACAACCCTATGAAGGATGTGTTATTCTGATTTCTGTGGGGGGAGAAAACTGAGGCATAATTAACATTCCTTGCCCAAGTTTAAATAGGTATTAAGTCGCTAAGCCAAGACTCAAAAAGACCTAAGTCCAAAACCCATGCCCTTAATTATTATAGTCTGGAGGGTAGCTATTGCTTTAAAGGAAAAATAAAACAATGAAACAAACAAAAAAACCTTAATAAGAAAAGTAAAAAGCGGAACAGCTGCAAACAAAAAGCAGAAGCAAACTCGAGGAATTATCCCATTCCTTAGACTCAAGAACAAGGAGCTGGAAAATCTTAGTAAATTTTAGAAACATGAAATTTAGACACAACGATCCAATACGTAAAATCTTATAAAAATAAAATGATTTGATTGAGGAGAAACAATCATCACAGGAAAAAATATTCCCCTGAGCTAAAGGCTTGAGGCTTTAGACTAAAAACTGACCAAGAGCCGAGTGAGTAATAACGAAACAAGACTCATACCTAGACATTATTGTGAGATTTTTGAATTTCAAAAGTAGAGAAAACTCTATAAACTTCCTGATAGAATGCAAAAATATTTACAAAGGCAAGAATCAAATTGGCATTGAACTTCTAATTTGACACTGTAAGCCAGGAAATGTACTTCGAAAGTGCTTGAAATAAGCAGGAAAATGCCCCTGTTTATTTTATTCAGATGTCTTTTGATGTTTACTTTGAAATGATGAATATAATAAGGTCTATATGTAGCCTGCACTGCCTTCGAGATTCTGTAGTATAGCCTTTGATGATGTAGCTGCATTTGCTGTATCCAGTTGTAGGAATTGAATTATTGAGAAATTGGAAGCTTACATCTATCATTTTCCATCAATGAAGAGATTCTCAATAAAGTGTCTAGAAGTTTTGCATCCCAAATTAAAAGAAAAATTTCAAATCCAGTCAAGCCTGGGTTATTAAGGTATCATCATTTTATTTTGTGATCTTTTACAATGTTGTAATGTGATTGCGTTTTTGTTTTGGGGGGAGCGTAACGTGGACCGGCATGATTTAGCAACACTCAATGAATCTTTTATTCTTTTTCCAATGATTTGTAACTATATTTACCCCCAAAGTCAAGATTATAGTTTCATTAATGCATGTAATTTGTCTATATGATGATTCAATGAGCAAAAGTCTTTAACAGAGATAAACATGAGGAAATATATAAACAAAGGTGGTACAAAATCTGATTAGAGTGATGGCAAATGATGACAAATTCAGTTTTCAAATATTTTGCATGCTATTTGTTATCAGCTGGGGACATTTAATGCCTCATTAGCCACAAATTAAATCCCAAGTTTAGAATCTATCCTCAGCGATAGTAAATGCCCATTACATCCAATTAGCATACAAGCTGATGTGGAAAGAAGTTGAAATAGGAATGGGATTTAGGTTCCAGTTCTGGCTTTGCAACTAACCATCTTAGAAAAGTTATTCAAATATCCGGTAAAAGAAAATAATTGTATTAGATACTAAATTTCCTCTCAAGCCTAAAATTCTGAGATCTTCAGAATATAGGCTATGGGAGAGAAGGCTGATCAATCTCAAGAGTTTTTTGGATTTAAATTGCTAATGTTAAATGACTGTTGTGAAATTTCATGAACCTAACTGGGAATAGTATGACTGAGCTGATAATATTGCACCTGGCGTTGAGATAGCGGTTAAGGGTGAGGTAGGGAGAGGAGGGGCGGAAGTGATGGAGAGTCTTTGTGGGCGTGTTGAAATAAAGAGATGATTTATGTCTCCTCTCCTATCTATAAACAAATACCTTGTAAGAAAGAGAGAGGGTATGTGTTCTCTCCATTGCAGTCTTCAGAGTTTTTCTGTCTTAATAAAATTGTGAGTGGCAATGTGTGGTAAGAAGAGTTTTAAGAAATTTTGACACATCCGTATCCCCAAAAAGCATTGATAGCATCTCAACTTCTACATCTTGTGAAAATCTTTTCAACATTTTCCCCAAATTTTACTACTTTAAATAGAAAAGTGGCTTTCTTGTTAAATTCAAAACAGAGTCAGAAGCAAGGATGGTTTGGGACTGCCAGCGTGTGCTTGCAAGTCTGGGAACTCCATGAGGGCAGAACTTTTCATATTCATCTCTGTATCTCCATCACACAAAGCCTGTAATATCGTGGAAGCTCATTAATTTTTTGATGATGAAATGAATGACCAAGGTGAATGGCCAGAATGAGGGACACACACCTACAATATCTTGCAGCAGGTCAAACATAGCTGGCTAGCAGGAGCTCAAAACTGCTTGCTGGCTTCTTTTCAGCCTCTTTCTCTATCGTCTCTGTTGACTAACTGAGTTCAGGACCACACAGTTTTACCGAGGCCAAGGCTATACACTTGCATGTTCTAAACTCACGTAGATCTGAACAGTGTAGGTCTCTGTTTGTCACCATCTGGATCCTAAAGATGAACACCACGTTAAGAATAAGTAACATTGACTGAGTCCGTACTAAGTGTCCAGCACTTTTACAACTGTGTATGTATTTTTATAAGTATTATTTCCTTCTTGCAACAACCCTAGGAGGGATGTGGTTCTATTATTACCCCCGTCTTACAGATAGGAGCTGATGCACAGACAGCCTGACTAATTTGCTTCAGGACACTCAGGTGGTAAGTGACAGAGTGGACTGAAATCCAAGTAGTCTGACTCCAGAGTCCTGTGTTCTTAAAATTTTCCCTCTGCTGCCTGATGTATCAGCAGAATATATGCAACTGTGAAACAGTCCCATTGCCACTCTTGTGGAGGTCAGTGACAAAGAGCATTTTCATTACAAGTTTTATACCTAATTAGAGTTTAACAAGAAAAGCAAAAGAGAGAATGCAAAATTACTTTAAGTGTTCATTTCCATATTTCAAAATGCTTTGATTCCACAATAAGGAAATTCACTGCAAGGTAGAATTTGGAGCATTTGAAAGATCTTATTAACTGAATATCTTTATTTAGTTCCTATTTCAAAAAGGTGGTTTCCTCTTTCTTTGGTAATACATACATCTTAAAAGGAGTAACCTAATGTACTCCAACTTAAATATTAATAAGATGATTTCAATAAATGGTTTTCAGCAATTGTACAAAATTAATATGGATTAGATACATGTTATAACAACATTATTGCATTGTATTTTTAACCATGATAACTCAATTCATGTTTTAATCACATTTCTTATGGTGTTAATTTCCAGAAGAATTACGGTTAAACTAATGTTTCTCTAGTAAATACTTAAGAATAATTGAATTTGCAATTTGGTACTTAACTTATACTGATAATTGCTTCCTACAAAAAGAGGTATCTAATTGTAATCACAGAATATTCTTTCTCTCTTGTTCAAAGAGCTTCTCCCAAGAAATCCATGACCTGTTTAAAAACACAAAAACAATACAAATAAAAGCATTATTAACTGAAAGTCCTAATAAAAAAGAGTTATTTATCGTTAGCCATGAAGTTATCCACTCGAGTAATCAAATAACATTTGAGAATACTTTATTTAGATAAACTTGTATGTTTTACAGATTGTAAAAATATGTATCATTCAATTTTCTAATTGGCAGTTTGTTGAAAAGAATAAGAGATTGAGTGCCACGTTTTGTGCGTGTGTTTTCATCGTTTCTAAATGGGGTATTAGAAGTATTCCTCCAGGCAAATCTCTCTTCAAGTGTCTTTGACTGCTTGTCATTCTAGTTCACTTTGAACCTGACTGGCACACTCTGTGGTAGGCAGAATTCTGAAGATATCCCCTCAAGATTCCTGTTTATGATTACAATCAAACACTAATCTAGGCACTGCTGTGAAGGGATTTTGCAGATGTAATTAAGGTTACTAATTCACTGACCTTAAAAAAGAGAGATTATCCTGGTTTATGCCAATGGGATCAATGTAATAACATAAGCTCTTACAAGTAGAAGAGGAAGGCAGAAGAGGAGGTCAGAGAGATTCGAAATGTAAGACTCAGCCCATTGTTGCACCTTTGAAGATGCAGGAAGGGGACCATGAACCAAGGAATGTGGGTGGTCTCGGGAAGCTAAGAATGACTCCTGACTGACAGCCACAAGGAATTGGAGACCTCAGTCCTTCAATAGCATGGAACTGAATCCAGCCAATAACCTGAATGAGTGTGGAAGTGGATTCTTCCAGCCCCCAAATATGAGCTCATGCGGACCAACATCTTGATTTGGGCCTTTTGAGTCACAGAGCAGAGGAAGTAGCTGAACCCACCCAGACTCCAGACCTATAAAACTATGAGATAAAATATTTATGTTGTTTTTAAGCTGCTAAATTTGTGGGAATTTGTTATGGTAGCAATAGGAAATTAATACATATTCCAAAAAAACCGTGGACATACTGCTGTTGGATAGCAGTTCTTAGTAACTCTTAGGACCCACTGAAAGAAGAACTTAAAGAATGTTCAGGTACGGGCCGACTCCGTGGTCTAGTGGTTAAGTTCGTGTGCTCCGCTGCAGCGGCCCAGGGTTTGGATCCTGGGCGCGGAGGACAAGGCACCACTCGTCAGGCCATGTTGAGGCGGCGTCCCCCATCCCACAACTAGAAGGACCTGCAACTAAGATATACAACTGTGTACAGGGGGAGGGTTTTGGGAGATAAAGCAGAAAAAAAAAAAAAGGAAAAGAATGTTTAGATAAAAGGAGAGCTAACCTATATATTCAAATCTTTCTTTCTCAAAGTTCTCCTCAATTTTCAATATTGGACCAGCTATTTTTTTTGAGAAATCTCAGAGTTTACTTTATTGTCTGTGTAATTTCTTTCCTCCTGCCATCCTCTCCCTACCTTCACCGTCCTGCTGACAACATTGAAGGATCTCAGTATTCTGTACCTCTAAAGGTTATAATATTGAGAAAGAATAGACTCTACTTAATTAACTGTATGCTGACAATAATTTAAAGATTAGTCCTCTCTTCCCCCCTTCTGCTCTCTCATCTAGTCTTTGGAGGATACATCCTAAAGGGACTGCTGTTCCCAGAGTCCACCAGGCATGAGTGTGCTCACAGCATCCTCCACTGAATGTGCCCTCAATTCAAAACAGCTGCCAGAAGACAGGTGCTGAGGAGAAATATAGCAGTTGACTGAAAGAATAAAAACTTTAGATTTTTTTATTTACTTTTTTTTTTTAAAGATTGGCACCTGGGCTAACAACTGATGCCAATCTTTTTTTTTTTTTTTTCTGCTTTATCTCCCCAACCCCAGTTGTACACAGTTGTATATCTTAGTTGCAGGTCCTTCTAGTTGTGGGATGTTGGACGCCGCCTCAACGTAGCCTGACAAGTGGTGCCATGTCCTCGCCCAGGATCCAAACCCTGGGCCGCTGCAGCAGAGCACGGGAACTTAACCACTCGGCCACGGAGCCACCCCTTTACTTTTTAAAATATCATCTGATATCACAAATAGCCTACCATAATACTTTATCATGAAATACTTTAGACATAGGAAAAGGCTTTGAGAGGAATGTATAAACACTGATGTTAGCACCAACTAGCTTAAGAAAAAAACCTAAAAATAATGGAGGCCCCATTTCTTCCCCTTACATTTTTAAAATTCTTCCTTTATTCTTTTTTCTGCTTATATTGAGATATAAATAACATATAACATCATGTAAGTTTACGGTTTACAAAGTGTTGATTTGATACACTTACATGTTGGAAAATGATCACCACCATAGCTTTCGCTAACGCCTCCATCACATCACATAATTACCATTCTTTTGTGTGATGAGAACATTTAACATCTACTCTTTTAGAAACTTTAAAGTATATAGTACGGTATTATTAACTAGAATCACATGCTGTAATTAGATCCCCAGAACTTAATCATCTTGTAACTGGAAGTTTTACCCTTTGACTAGTATCTCCCTACTTCTTACACCCCTAGTCCCTGGTAACCACCATTTTACTCTCAGTTTCTCTGAGTTTGGCTTTTTAAGATTCCACATATAAGGATATCATACAGTATTTGTCTTTCTCCTGGCTTATATCACTTAGAATAATGCCTTCAAGTTCCATCCATGTTGTTGCAAATGGAAGGATGCCCTTCTTTCTCATGGTCACGTGATATTTATATATATATGTATTTGAATTCATATATTTGCTATATATGAATAATTGATATTCAAATATATACATATGACATCTTTATTCATTCATTGATAACACCAGTTGTTTCAATATCTTGGTTATTGTGAAGAATGCTGTAATCAACATGGAAATGGAGATGTCTCTTTGAGATCCTGATTTCATTTCCTTTGGATATACATCTAGAAATGGGATTGCTGGATCATATGGTAGTTCTATTTTCAATTTTTTGAGGAGTTTCCACATTATTTTTTATAGTGCCTGCACCACTTTACATTCCCACCAACAGTGCACAGGGTTCACTTTTCTCCACATCGTCACCAACACTTGTTATCTCTTTTCTTTTTGATGAGAGCCATTCTAAGAGATGTCAGGTGGTATTTCATTGTGGTTATAATTTGCATTTCCCTGGTGATTAGTGATAGTGGATACCTTTTCATGGACCTGTGTACCATTTATATATCTTCTTTGGAAAAATGTCTATTCCTGTGTCCATTTTTTAATCAGGATATTTGTGTTTTTCCTATTGAGTTGTACGAGTTCTTTATATATTTTGCATATTAGCCTTTTATCTGTGAATATTATTTGAAATATTTTCTCCCATTCCATAAGTTGCCTTTTCATTTTGCTGATGATTTCCTTTGCTGTGCAGAAGCTTTTTAATACGATGTAGTCCCACATGTTTATTTTTGCTTTTGTTGTCTTTGCTTTTTGTGTCAAATCCAAAAAAATCATTTTCAAGACCAATGTTAAGGGGATTATCCGTATTTTTTTTCTGGGAGTTTTATGGTTTAGGTCTTAAATTCACATCTTTAATCCATTTTGAGTTGATTTTTGTGTATAATGCAGGATAGGAATCCAGTTTCATTCTTTTGCATTTGGCTATCCAGTTGTCCTGACGTGGTCCATTGAGGAGACTATTTCTTCTCCATTGTATATTTTTGGCTCCTTTGTTATAAATGAATTGGATTGGCCATATATGCCTGGGTTTATTTCTGAGCTTTCTATTCATTTCCTTGAATTATGTGTCTATTTTTATACCAGTACCACACTGTTTTGATTACTTTGTACAGCTTTGTAATATAGTTTGATAGCAGGAAGTGTGATGCCTCCAGCTTTCTTCTTTTTTCTCAAGATTGCATTGGCTATTCAGGATCTTTTGTGGTTCCAACAAATTTTAGGATTGTTTTTTCTATTCCTGTGAAAAGTGCCATTGGAATTTTGATAGGGATTGCATTGAATCTGGAGATCACTTTGGATAATTTGAATATTTTAGCAATGTTAGTATCTTTCCACTTATTTGTGTCTTCACTTTCTTTCATCAGTGTCTTACAATTTTCAGTGTACAGATCTTTTATCTCATTGGTTATATTTACTCTTAAGTATTTTATTCTTTTTGGTAATATTGTAAATGGGATTGTTTTCATAATTTCTCTTTCTGATAGATTATTGCTCGTGGATAAAAATGCAACTGATTTTTGTGCATTGATTTTTATATCCTGCAATTTTGAATACACTTATTAGTTCTAACAATTTTTCTGTGGAGTCTTTAGGGTTTTCTGTTATAATATCATGTCATCTGCAAATAGAGATAATTTTACCTCTTCTTTTCCAATCTGGATTCCTTTTCTTTTTCTTACCTAATTGCTCTGGCTAGGACTTCCACTCCTATGCTGAACAAAAGTAGTGAAAGTGGGCATCCTTGTCTTGTTCCTGGTCTTAAAGGAAAAGCTTTCAACTTTTCACCATGGAGTGTGATGTTAGCTATGGGCTTGTCATACATGGCCTTCAGTATGTTGAAGTATTTTCTTCTATACCAAGTTTCTTGGAAGTTTTTCTTTTTTATGAAAGGATGTTGAATTTTGTAAAGTGCTTTTTTCTGCATCTATTGAGATAATGATACCATATTTATCCACCATTTTGTTAATGTGTCATATCACATTGATAGATTTGTGGATGTTGAAACATCTTTGTGTCACCAGAATAAATCTCACTTGATTATGGTGTATGATCTATTTAATTTATTGTTGAATTTGATTTACCAATATTTTGTTGAGGATTTTTACATCTGTGTTCATCAGGAATATAGGCCTGTTATTCTGTGATTTTCTTTTCTTGCCTCCTTGTCTGATTTTGGTATAAGAGTAATGCTGGCCTTGTAAAGTGTAATTGTATTTGTGTTTCCTCCTCTTCTTTTTTTGGAAAAGCTTGAGAAGGATTAGTATTAGGTCTTCTTTAAACGTTTGGTAGAATTCACCACTAAAGGCATCTGGT